TACAGAAACAGCCAAAGTGTGTTTGTTTGCCTACAGAAACAGCCAAAAGTAACTTTAAGTCACAAGAGTCTGTCAGATGTATGTTGGGTTCCTACATATTCTCCAGAATCAGACTTTTAGACATTTCACTCAGTTTTTGATGTCAAAGCGTCTCTGTGCAGCACCATGAACCCAAACAAACGTCACGATCATGTGACGGATGGTTTAAAGAGGCTGAGCTGGTCCAGTAGAGTGAGTACCTGATGGGGTGGTCTCCGCAGGTCTTGGGCCTCTCCATCACAGACACCCACTTGTCATCGTAGCTGAAGAGCGACAGGTCCAGGTAGGGGCTGCTGCTGTACGACTGGGCGCTGATGGGCAGCTGCCCCAGCAGGCGACGCACCGCTTCTGTGTGGCCGCCATATTTGGCGTTCACTATGGTGTCTTTAAACCTGAAGACACAGACGGGGATCAGCAGAAACCTTCACTCAGCAGCACCCTCGTAAAAACGTCTAACAGGACCCTGAAACGTGTTCTCAACTTAGGGTTTGTGTAAAATCTAAAATACGGTTCAAACGTAATGTGTTCTTATTTGGGGGTCGGTCGTGGAGGCAGCAGGTCCAGGAGAGAAACCCAGAACTCCTTCTCCTCAGAAACCATCTCCAGCTCCTCCTGGGAGATCCTCGTGTGTTTCCAGACCTGAGAAGATAAATAATCCCTCCAGAGAGTTCTGAGTCTGCCCTGGGGTCTACACCCATGGAGGTGTCCACCTTAGCAGACTTGTTTTGAGGAGGAGCAGCAGTTCTACACCGAGCTCCTCCCTAAAGGCAGAGCTCCTTATCCTATCTCCAAGACTGAACTGGGCTGACCTACAAGGGAAGCTCATTTCAGCTGCACGTTCCAAACCTCATGACCAAAGGTGAAGGGTGGAACACCGATGGTGCCAACCACGTGACTCCGCAGAGTGCTTCAAATGTGCATCCTCATTTCAGAGTTGCATATTGATATATTCTTCACTTTTCATCTTAGCTCCTTCTTCACATGAACAGATCGGAGCAACACTCTCACAACTGCAGGCGTCCTGATCTGACGAGACTTCGTCTGCAGTTATGATGAAGTTCCATTTCCAACACAATCTGACTTCAAAGTTTCAAACTTTTCAGGAGATAAAAGTCAAAAATTTTCTGTTGAATTTTTTTACACCTGGACACAAACGTTTAGAGTAAAATTACAATTATTGTTTTGGCTGTGGTCCGGTTTTTATTATGTGTCCAAAAAACAATTCAAAACAACAGAAGTCATCCAAAGCTGTACAGCAGAGCGATGCATCAGGAAAACCAACTTCTTTTTTGTCTGATTCCTTCTCTGTTAGGTTCATTTTAAACCACAACTATCAAGTCATCTTCAATAAATTAAAAAAAGTTTTTACAAAATAAACGAGCAAAATAAAAATCCACGAGTGCTTTATGGCTAGACTAAACCTATACATTAATTAATACATGTTCTGAACTTTAACAGTTACATAAATCTGACAAGGTTTATGTTTCATGTTTGCACTGCGGCTGTACAAGAGAATATGACTTTATATCATATTACTCTTAATTTTTTTAATTTAAAATTTATATTCCAGAAAAGAAAAACTAAAATATGAAACTACTATATATATCTATATATTTTTTTTTTTTTCAGACCTGAAAAAAAAAAAATTCTAAGAGCATAAAGGATCTTTGATATTAAAGTTGATTAAATTAATTTAATTTGCATATGTGACACCCGAGTATTTTGCAATGTATTAAACAATGTTTGCTCTAATGTTTATTTAAAAAAAATTATTAATCATAATCATAAAGAACCATGTAATTATTGGCACTCAGTTTCTTTAAAAATCTTGCTGTATTGATTGTAATAAAGGTTTATAAAAATAAAACGTTCCTTGAAAATCTGAAATGCAGCAAAATGCTGCATAACATAAAAACTATTTTTTAAACATAACTACATAAAAACATAATATGGACAAACGAAAGATAAAATTCAATATTTTACTTTTTCTGTAAATATCATTTTTCTTCCTATAGTCATAATTTTAGGTTAAAATGTACTTTTATTTTTCTTTATATTTTTATGTTCATTAAGCATCAAATCAGTCTAATTTATAACGAGGTGGAAATGTGCAAAAAGCTGCACATTATTTGTGAAACAACCTCGTAAGTCTGAAAGCTTCTTGTATGTAAATATTCCATATAATTTATAATATGTCTTTTTTTTATTTTATTTTGTGTACTCCTCATTCATTTTGAAAGTATTCTTTAAATCATCTGCCGCAGGGATGGTAAACCGTCCTGGTCCAGGATCAGTTTCATTTCATGCTTCCTCTCCTCCAGTCTTCTTTTGCTATTTAAATCTCCATTATTTTAAATGTCCTCTCATGTGTCTTCACGTCTCTGGTCTTGCTGTCCTTCCTGTCGTCCTTCCCCCGTCTGAACCGCTGCTGCAGACTGGACTTACAGAACGCTTTCTTCAGCTTTCAGCCTCGCCTCGGCATCAGTTTGCTCTAAAATCCAAATCGATGCTCTCTTCCCGGCTCCAACTCTCTTTTCTCCTCGCTCTGCCTCGTCGTCCTCGCAGGTTTTTGTCATCTACTCTGGTGAGAACCGCCAAATTCAATCAGAGCAACTTTAGCTGCGCTGACCGCCCTAATATCTCTTCAACGTCCGCATTACGACCCAGAACTCCTCGTCTTCCTCCTGCAGGTGGTCCCAGCACATGTGAACCTCTAACATCTGGCTGCTCCTCATCAGGACTTATTTATTCTGAAAACAAAACTTCTACCGGTTTGTCAGAAGTAGCGCTTTTGGTAGTGTGAAGGTGAACGGGGTACCTTCTTTGGACCTGCCGAGCGTAGTTGTTTGACGAGGCGGAGCAGGGGAACTGGACCGCCTGGCTGTGCAGGGTGGCGTTTCTGAACAGGTCGCAGAAGTTCTCGAAGAGCTCCAGCAGCTGATCCGAGGTGTTCTCGAAGACGGCCAGCACCTCAGTGGACACCATGTTGTACACGACGAAGAACGACGGCTGAGAGAAGCCAAGAGGTCGAAGAGTTCAGAGAGGACAACAAAAGACAAATCACCTTGTTTTGTTTTTTTAATTTTAGTAATAAAGTTCAGGAAGAACAAATCTTTCTGGAGCTTTCTGTGAGTTTCATATTTACATTGCTCTGTTGGTAAAATGTAAGGACGTCACATATCCTCTGAAAACCCTGAGCATTAATTAGAGCCGTCTTTTGTCATAAATAAATCCAGGACTGAGCAGAATCCAGGGGACAAAAGTGTCCTCGGAGACCTGAAGGAGGAATTCATGTTGAACGGCCAAAACGACAAAAGACAGATGGAGGAAACCGGGGGAGCCGAACAAAAGAGCACAGAGGGAGGAATTCACATTGACAGATCTGTGTGTGTGTGTGTGTGTGTGTGGTCTACCTGCGACGGGTCTGTGACTCGGAGCGTGACCACGTCTTCACTGGTGTATTTAATAAAGAGGTGATGCTCGTCCAGCAGCTGCATCTTCCACATCCTCAACCTTCTGAGCTGATCAAAAAACTGGAAAAACCTGACGAACAGGAAAAAAAAAAAAAACGCATCATCAAAACTAAACGCCGCAAATGAAGAGTTTAGTCGCTCACGCAGCTCCACCGCAGGTACGATGAAGCTGAGACAAAATAACCGACATGACCAACAACGTGACAGAGGAAGTTACAGTTTAATAAACTTTATTTAAAGAACAAGCGATGACAATAAAATTGATTCAGCAGAAATCAACAATTCTTCTTTTCCCCGACCTTTAATTCTTGCTTGAAATATTTAAAGTCCAAACTGTCATGGACCTCAGAAGCAGAAGTCATTTTACATGAAGAGGGAAAACAACATGGCTTCCTTCAATACAAACAATAATTGACTTCACATGACTAAAGGATCACACCAACTAAACTTTTACTGGATTAAATGACCGAAGAAATGTTTTTGTGTTTCTGATGCATTTTTAAAGGACAAGAAAATTGTGAAATTGACTAAAATAATTTTAAATTGGAGGCTTTGAATTCTGAGACGGACACGGTGGCGCAGTTCTTGGAGCTGTTGCCTCTCAAGAAGGTCGCAGGTTCGCCTTGTGACCTTTCTGGGTGGAGTTTACGTGTTCTCCCCGTGCATGTGTGAGTTCCTCCCAGACCAAAACGTGCATGTCAGATCGACTAGAAACTCTTAAATGTCCCTAGGAGTGAATACTCGTTTGTCTTCTTCGTCTCTGTGTGTCCCTGTGATGGACTGGAGACCTGTCCAGGTGTCCCTGTGATGGACTGGAGACCTGTCCAGGTGTCCCTGTGATGGACTGGAGACCTGTCCAGGTGTCCCTGTGATGGACTGGAGACCTGTCCAGGTGTCCCACAGTGACCGCTGGACATGGGCAGCAGCAAACCCAGTGACCCGGAAAGGAGAAGCAGGTAAAGGTGTATGGAATTATGATCCTCCAGCTGCCACAGAATGCAGCACATGTACATGGTACAAAATAAATACAGCACGGCTTCCAACTTCAAATAAACAAGGAGTGCTCTTGTTTCCCACTGCACGTGAAGGCCCCTTCACACAGGAAGTGGTGTGCCTTGAACACAGCTTTCCTCCGCCTTGCACCAAAGTTTGAACAACTTTAATTTGAGCTCAGTGTTGCTCCGTCAGTGAATCAGACACAAACAGAAGAGTCTGGGTGTGTGTACTCATCAACAGTCAGTCAAGTCAAAGTTTATTTATATAGCACATTTACAACAACCACAGCTAACCAAAGTGCTTCACAATAATTACATCATAGATAAAAATATGATAAAAGAAATAATGTATATATTATGTGCACAGACAATTATTTCTATTTCTAGTGTCCTGTTATCACGGAGCTGGTTTTGCAGCATGAGGGGGACAAAACATTTTTGGGTGGTGTTATACACTTTAATATTAGTTATACCTTCTGTACTTGTGTCAGAAAACAGAAATATTTCTCATCATCAGCAGCTCTTTGGTTCCATCTCTGTGTCTCTCATTTGTTTTCAGTACATTTCCAAACAGAAGTGTCAAAACTTTTACCGTATAAGTCGCATCTATTATGCATCACCGCTGACAACACGGAAATGTGGGCCGGTGTTGTGCCAAAAATTGATTAGTTGCCAAATGGCGGGAGTGTGCACGGGAAGACTTTAACAAGATTAACACTTAAAAACAATTGTTTGTTTGGTCAAAATTATAGTAAAAGGTGTGTCTCAGTTGAACTTTTCCTTAATAAATGCACTTTGGCAGTCAAATCAGCTGCATTTTCAAAAGCTGATATGTGAAAGCAGGAGTGCGCAGAGGGAGGACTCGCTGTGCATTTCTTCGAAATTTAACAAGTTAACCACCTAAAAACAATTATTTGTTTGCTCGAAATTATAACAAAAGCGTGTCTCAGTTGAACTTTTACTTAATAAATGCACTTCAACTGTCAAATTAGCTGCATTTCACCAGGGCGGCGCAGTGAAATGAAATTGATGTGACGGTTGCTCCAGGTATGATGCCAGAGCTGGATGAAAGTGGCAGGCTATGGCAAGCCGATTGTGTCATTAATAGCCACTTTTACCTATTACATGACACAACGGCATGTCATATAACTCGAGTATCATCTAGTAGCTGAAAGTGGTAGCGTTCAATATTTTCCATGTCAGAATGAATGAAAATGGTCATATCTCAATCAAAAATTGATTTATAAATATGGAAGAAAAAAAAACAAGTTGCTTCGATGTATACGTATAAGTCGCAGGGTATGCAAATTAGGCCAAAGGTGCGACTTATAGGCCGTAAAATACAGTAATTGTTGTTGCTTTTCTTAAACCTTTTATAAACCAGACACAGAAACAGTCGCTCAGGGTGAACTTACCTCCTCTTGGCCGTGGCGCTGCCGTCCTGCTCCACCCTCCTCCACAGGTAGACCAGCAGCCTGTGCTTCAGTGAGTTGATAATTTTGTCGGTGTACAGGCGAGGGAAGCCGGGTTGGCTCTCTGCCTGCGTCTCAGTGTAAACAGCTGAGAGAGTCAGGAGGTCGTCCTCGTAACAGAAGCGACCGATTGTCCTCACGTCCAGAAACATCCCGTCCGGAGTCACCTGGGACAGACAAAGAATCAAAAACAGACGAAGCCTAAAAATTGACCTTTTGTTTCCTTGGAAAGGTAGCAGGTTAGAACGAAAAACGATTAATTTTCAAACTCTGTGTTGTTAAAGAAATAAAATCAGACTTTTTAGTACTGGTGTGGAATGTTTAGGAATCCATCTGCATGAGTTGAACGCCACACAGACTGAAGGATTGTGGACATTCAAACAAAGAAAGACGAATTCCCACAAAGCAGACAAAGTCTTTTGGACAGTACTAATTATTTACATGTGCTGGGTGTCTCTGCACCGGAACACTAAATCTGCTCACCTGGAACACGTGGATGGTCTGCTGCTGCACCGACAGCACAGCCAGGATGTTCCTGTAGAGGTAGAGACCTTGGTTGTGTGACAGAATGATCTTGTCACACTTAAAGGACCTGGTGTCGACCAGTCTGCCAGTGAAGAGGTCGATGATGTGCAGAGAGTAGTCCTCTAGAGGAGAGCGAGGGTTCGGAGTCACTGATTCGTTGTTGCGATACACCTGGCGAGAGATTAAAGATGAGCAGAGAGAAAACGGACTCAGTCCGCTCGTTGGAGTCAGAGTTGTTACCTCAAAGAAATATGGCGGCGGCTCCTCGGGGACATAAACGGCCGACCCGACGATGACGTAGCGGCAGTCGTCTGTGAAAAGGCTGCACTCCCGGTTCAGGTGTTCTCCGTTTGAGGCCACGTTAGTAACGCTGAGCAGAGAGAAGAAACGCTCAAACAGGCTGCCTCGGATGTTGAGGCAGCGCTGGTCGTTGGCGGTGGAAAGAGTCTCTCCTTCCTGGCCCCTCAGCAGGTCCTGAGCCGCCTGACACCCCTGGTACTCATAGATCTGGAGAAGGATTTTGACATGATGCGAGCGTGTCATTCTGGTTTGGTCTCGGGTAAACTTGTAGATAAAACTACCTGAATGTGTTTTAAAAATCAGACAATAGTTTGTGTTTCAAGATGGTGTGCAGGGAACAAACTTCTCACCTCGAGAGACGTCTGGTCAGAGGAGAAGGCGATGAAGTAACGTCCGTCTGGTGAGAACTTCCTGAGAAAGCAAGGCGGCTTCTCCACATTGACCACAGTGAAGTTAGGGAACAAGTTCTGGTGGAAGCAGCGAACTCGGTACCAGTGAGCTCCAGGCCGACCAGAGCAGATCCTTCGCCTCTCGAGACGATGGGCCACGTTCTGATTCTGGATGCGCCTGGGCTTTAAGGTCGGGGAGTCCTCGTCCATCGCAGCGATTCGAGGATCGTTTCAAACGCTCTTCAGCGGTGAAGACAGGAGGGCGGCCAGGAAAAACAAATGACTCATCACGGTTCTGCTTCCTGAAAGATGACGGATGACACCGACTGCCTCGATGAAGTAAAATGTTTCTACGTGTTCTGGTAAAATAGAGCAAACAAAAACTCAAGTTTCACCTAAAATCAGATTAAAGGGCTACACACGAACCTAAAACATAAATGCAGTACACTACCTATCAAAACCACTTCATCTGCAAACACACAAAGAAAAAAATATATTTTCTAGACAACAACAACAACAACAACAACAACAACAACAACAACAACAACAACAACAACAACAACAACATCGTTAGTATGCTTTAAACTATTAAACCTGAGTGACAGATAATCAGACTGTAACAAATACATTTAGAGTCATGTTTTATTTTTATTATCCATTCCCAGTTCCTGTCTGTCAGCACAACTTCTGACTTACAAACCTGTTCTTGTCACGCAGTACAGACTGTACACAACCCCGTTCAGTCCAAAGTTATGACTTTCTATAAATGTAAATAAAAACAGACGGCATTTATCTGAAATTTTCATAAACCCTTATTTTATTCACAATGGAACACTGTAAACATTTCAAATGTTGAAACGAAGAAATTGTACCATAAAAAATATAATTTTGGATTTTATACCAGAAACAGAATTGTTGTGAAAGGGACAACAAAGGCTTTAAAAATAAGTTGTACAAATCAAACAGCATGAGGAGCATTTTGTAACTAATTAGATTCATTGTTCAGTAAGAACGCAGCGTATAAAAAGAGCATCCGAAGTAAAGATGGGCAGAGGTTCACCACGCTGTAAATAAACTGTGTCTAAAACTAGTGGAACGATTTCAGAATTAAGTTCCTGAATGAAAGACTTTCATCTCCAGTTCATAATCTCATCAACAGATTAGAAGAATGTGTAGACATCTCTGCGCTCAAAGGACGAGGCTGAAAGTTAATATTAGATGGTCGTGATCTTTGGGCCCTCAGGGGCCACTGCATTAAAACCAGGTCTGGTTCCATTATGGGCTCAGGAACACTTCCACAGATCATAGTTTGTAAACACAGCTCATCCACAAATGCTGCTTAAAGCTCTATCAGGCAAATAATTTAGAAACCACAAACACCACCTCGTTCATCCTAAAGAGGAGAGGGACCATCCAGCCTGTTAGCTCACAGTTCAAAAGTATGCCTCTCTGATGGTATGGGGGTGCATTAGTGTCTCTGGCACGGACAGTTTACAGATCTTGAAAGGCACAAACAACGCAAAAAAAGTATTTACAAGTTTAAGAACAACATCTGCTTCAACCTAGTAAAGAAGAGGCAGGACTGTTGAATAGCTGAGTCCATCATGAGATCAGAATGAGACAAGATTCCCTCCAAAACCTCCAACAACTGGTCTCCTCAAGTTCAGAACTTTTACAGACTGCTGTTAAAAGATGGGATGCTTCACAGAGAGAAAAACAATTTTAAATAAAAATGCTGCTGCCACAAAATTCAAAACTATCCATTTCCCACCCAGAAAATTGTACAATTTGTTATTTTAAACCTTTGATCTGTTTACTGTGTTCCCTTGAGAAGAAAATAAGTTTTATGGGATCTTCATATCATTTCATTCAGTTTTTTTGTTGTTGTTGTTTGTTTGTTTTACATTTTACACAACACCCAACTTTAACATCATGTTGTTTATTAATTAATTTCGAGCTAAACTGTTTGGTTGTATGGCTATGTTATGTAAAAATGTTATGCTAACACACGAACACTTTTGAACCTTTTTTAAATTTGCTGAGGTCCAATCAGAGCTCGTTTTGGTCTAAACACAGACGACTTGCTAACAAATCATTAAACCACCTTTATCATAATTATTTAGGTTGATATCTGACACATTAGACAAATGATTAGGATAATAAACACTTACCTGCTGCTGGATTTTATCTGAAGTAATTTGTCGCTTCTTCAGTAACAAACAGACCTGTTTAAAACTGCACTTCCGTCCTCAGATCGTGGGTCCGATTACTAAACCTAAACATTCGTCTTCTTTTAGTTTGTACACTCCAAAAAGAACCGAAAAGGTGACTGTATTGTGTTAGATTATCACTTTGGATCTTGCAGCTGTGTTTGTTGTTAAGGAAGCGGGTAGGAAAAAGCGGAAGAGCGGAGAAAAGAGGCACCTTATTTTCAAACAGCGCCACCTCCTCCTCTGGTCATAAACGGAACTGCAGCCTCTGGCCTCTCAGGAAGCTGCAGGACTCCAAAATGAAAAATCTAATCAAAATCAGGTGTGTAGCTAAAAATGACTTTACAGGTGGCCCTGACTGAAAGCTTGTAAAATAAACAGAAACTGCAACATGCTTTCTTCAATGATCGTTCCAAAACTATTCAGCTACTGAACAGCAAAACACCAGCAGCAAAAACTGTTGCGGTATTATTTCCAAAAATCTATTCTAAAACAAATAATTTAATTTGAAGTTGCTTGAAAACAAGTTCAAGATTATGTATATTCGTTTAAACAAATGAAAACATTTACAATCCAAGATTCTGATTTCTGGCTCTCACTGGAGCAGTTTGCAGCTGAGTGTGAAGCAGCTGGATGAAGAGCATCTGCACCCGAGGCCACTTCACACACATGTTTTTGGGGTGGCCATCACCCCCCTGGCCCCTCCTTGGTGGCACCCCTGTTCACGGAAGAGCCAGTTGGGTTGAAGAAGTCCATAATTTTGACACATTTGTTCTTGCGCTTATATTTGATGAGTAAATGTAGATTTTTTTTCATTCAACCTTTATTTAAAAAGGTTAGTCTCATTGAGTCACAAGGACTCATTTATCAGAGAGACCTGTTTTAGACAGACAACAAATAAAGTACAAATAACAATAAACTACAGTAATAAATGCAATTAAAATAAAAGTAGTGTTATAAAATGATAAATCAAGGCGCCATAAAATCAGGTAAAATACTAAAAAGAGCATATTTGCTTTGATGCTTCTATTGACCTTATCAAATATTTAAAATCCCCTAAAGAAATTAAAGTGGGCAGCTTCAGATTCTGTTGCAAGGTGTTCCAGGATGGTGATGAAAGTGCATTGCTTACACTGAGTGTAGACCCACAACTCAAACTTTCACAATATTATATTTATAAATCTACAGGAATAAATTCAAATGGCATCATCTGATAAAGCTCATGAAAACATGTTTTATGTTTGATTCATAGTTTGTAACTTTAACACAGCTTCCTCCTGTGAAACCAATAACCTGAATTAATTTAGGGACATAATTGCTTATTTATATGCTTAAAATAAACAATGACAATAAAATATAATCCCTCTGAATATCCAGGGATCCCACCAGTTTACTGTGTGCAAGTGGATAATATCAGTACTGATTTGGAGTAAAATAAAGCCTTATTGTCTGAAATGTGGGGCAAACGTCCACCTGCTGATCTCACCGAGGCGCCGATTTATTGATCAGTAGGTGGATTCACAGGTGAGGAGCCCAAGTGCTTTGAGGAGATTCAGGAGAAGGAAAGAACAACAACCGCAGATCTTTGGCTACTGTACGTACAGTGTGTGTAACAGTCTTGTTTGTTTAGCGTAATTTATTTAATTGATTTGTTTATGGCAGCGTGCAGCATATGTGAACCCAGGTTGACCTGCGTTTTGCTCCCCATAATGACAGATAATTAAATTATGATTATCCTCCTTCCACGAAGCATGTTCTCACAACGCTGGAAAAAAGAAAAAGGGAAACAATTCTCCGTGCACGTTGGTCATGGAAGACTGCTAATGGTTCTTTGTGCAATTATCTCTGACCAAAGACTCTCGATTAAATGTCGTAATTTTCCATAAAAGCACATGTATCGGGCATAAAAGGGTAGCTTGAAAAGAAAAATGAAGAAATGAATAGAGAGAAGAATGTGAAATTATCCACTTTAAAATCTAATGGCATTTTCCTTTTCAGCTCCGGCTGATTAAACCTTTGAGAATTGGACGTGTGTCTTTATGCAACGCGTGTGCTCGGTGGTGTTCATGCATTCAGCCCCGAGCCCACAAATTGCACATGTGTGCACGTGTTCAAGTGTTTGTGTGCTGCAACCATAACCCACACAGGAGTAATTCAGAGTAAAAACTATGCACCATCGTCAGGTTGTTCTTCTGTTATTTTCCCTCTAATAAAGCGCTCGGCACACTGGACGCTCGCCTCAGCTTTTAGCATCAGCCCATGAAGTAGAGAAGAGTTACATGTGAGTGTTTTACACAATTTTTAGTCTTTCTTCCAGGAGACACAGTCCTTATCTGAGATGATTTTTTTCCATCCTCCAGAGCTTTTTAAAGCCCCCGAAATGCAACGCAGCCCATTCTTCCTGCCCTGTTCACATCTCTTCTGCAGGTGAAAAACATTTCGCTCTTGACTGCACGCTCTCAGCCCTGCCACCAAAATGGAGATGCTGGAAAACTTTTAAATTGTTCCCTTGCAAAAGTCAGAAGAGAGAACGCTCGTCAAGAAATGCAGGGAAGGCCTTATGTTTGGAACAGTAAATAACAGCGTGGATCGCAGAGAAGCGTCTGCAGCTGCCATTATTATCATTATTATAACTCCCAGGATTTATTTAAAAGAGCATTTGCATTAAAGGACATCTGGATGCAGAGTATAGATAAATTCAGCAGCTTGCTAAAGCTCCTATATAAAAACAAGGCACTTAGAAAAGGTTATTCAAAGCTTGGGGAGCAAATAGAAATCCACTGTTTTACCATTTCCCCCCATCTCTTCATCTTAGACAGTTGTGTTTGGCATTTAACAAAAGCTTTTAACTTTTCGATCCAGCGTAATTTCAGAGCGCAACATTTTAAGACTGCAACTTTCCAATCCGTATGCACCTGAACTTTTCTTGTCTTTTGTGGCAGAAGATGATTTCCAGAGAAATTACTGTGATCACGGATGCATTATGGCCGAGCGGCCCCTCTGAGCTGCAGAGCTGCTGGACTCACAGAGAAGGGAAATGGGAGACAAAGGTGACCAGAAGAGATCCGGGGCCCTCGAAGCCTCAGGAACCTCTTTTATTTTTAGCTCAACGTGTTTGTGTTTCTCTCTGGAGGTCAGCCGATTAGCAGAAGCTGCTGTTTTAAGGAACTTATTCTGCGTTGAATAAAACTGACAATTATATTGAGATTAAAATCTTCTTTACAAGATCATTTCTCCCACGTCAGCATCTTTTTTCCATTCAACCTTTATTTATACAAGTTAGTCTCATTGAGTCACGAGGACTCGTTCACAAGAGAGACCTGATTTAAACAAAAACCATAAACGAGGTACACAAGAATAAACATTCATATGAAAGCATATAAAATGAAAAGGATATAAAAGAAGTGATATAAAACAAAAAAATTTAATTATTCTACATTATAAAATGGTGTAAGATACTAAAAACAGGAACATGTCTGCATTGATTTTTGAATTGAACTTAATGGTACTTTAGAATCCCTTAGAGAGGTCAAAGTCGAGAGCTTCAGATCTTTTTGTAAGGAACATAGTAAGAGAAGGCCCTTTTGCCAAATTCAGTCCGCCCTGATGGGACACTGCTGGTAATTATGTCCTGAGACAAAATTGTAGCTGCACTGATGACGTGACATGTAGGAGGAGATGTATGAAGGCAGCAGACCAAGAAGGGATTTAAAGATGAAAATGCACCAGTGTGAGTGTGTTTGAAGTTAATGATGACCAGTTAACCAGTGAATACAGGGTGCAGTGATGGGCACAGTAGGCTACATCAAGTTATGAGTCTTAGCGCACCGTGATAGACAGCGTCCAACTTCTGCAAGGTGCTTGCAGGAACATTCATGTAAATCATGTCTCCATAGTCAATGGAGGAAAGGAAAGTCACGGTAACAAGGTGTTTCCTAACGTTCAGAGTTAGACAGGATCTATTTCTGAAAAAGAAACCCAATTTTACTTTCAATTTCTTTACCAAGCGTTCAACATGAGGCTTAAAAGAGAGATGTAAATTCATCAAGACTCCCAAGTATTTGTAGGAATCAACAAACTCAATAGGAACATCAAGAAAGGACTGCTTTCCTGTTTTAAAACAACGTCCCTTTAGTTTTATCAGCATTTAGCACCAGTTGAGATGGAACAAATCTGACTGGATGATGTCGAATGCAGACTGTAGAACCTGGAAAACCTTAGCAACTGATTTAGCTTGACAATAAACAACGGTGTCGTCAGCATAGAAATGTAGGGATGCATCAGGAATTATCTGACCTACATTACTTTTGATTATTGAGCATGCATCAGGATATTACTTTTGCAGATTGTGAAGAGGGTGGGACCTAAGACTGAGCCTTGTGATACACCAATATTGACAGTTAAATAGCTGGAAGAAGTGCCATTACATTCAACACATTGGCTTTGATCTGAAAGGTGATGCTGAAAGATGACATAAGGTAAAGGTAAGCCTCACAGTTTTTCAGATACAACAGATGAAAAGCACAACAAATACCATTGCTTCTTTTCTTCTTTTCTTTCTTTTCTAATGGAGAAATCTTCTCAACGTTTACCTCCTGTAGACTTCAGCAGCATTCAGGACGTTAAGAAAAAGGAGCAAAGTGTGTTAGGTGTTTTATCCCCTGCTGCTTTTACTCACTTTTTCAAAGGATCTACGTTTCTATATTAAAAAAACTAAATAGATATATCGAGATTTTATTTACTGTCATTGAGGCTGAAAACAAAACCCTCATTTTGCATCTTTTTTTTTTATTATTTCTGTGCTCAATCAGGCATCACTTAAAATGATTTCAGACGATGAATCTTTAAAATAAACAGCCAAATGGCTAAAGAGGAAGTAAAATCTGTGAAACCATTAAAAAGTCATTGCACAAAGCAAACCAGACACAAACATTTTCAAACCTTTGAAAAAGTTTTGCTCAGCGTAGATATTTTTCTGTTCGGACTGAAATGACTGGAAACTGTTTTTTAGTTGGTCTGTTTCGCCTCCTGCTGCACCTCCCAAAAGGCAGGAGGACAATCGGGCTGTGAGTGGGAACAGGCTGGCCTTCATGATGTCCCTGGCCTTCCTGAGACGTCTGGAGCCGACTTTGTCCTCCAGGGAGGACAGAGAACAGCCAGTCATTTTCTCTGCGTTTCTGCAGCT